TTTTGCTATAAACTCGGTTGTTATTCTTCAAAATCTTTAAAACGAAGAGTTGTAATATTTTCATATTTGAGGTATTCCTCATAAAACATGTTTGTGACATGAGGCCCGTTACATTTTTATTTATTTTTTCATTAATTTTAAGAAATTGGAGTTTTTGTATCACTTCTATCACTTTTGTATGCTTGCTCTGCATATACTGCAGAAGCTGGGTCTTCCCTCTGAAAGGTACAAGTTGTTCATCCGCTGTAACACAATCACTTGCATGAATTTCTGCCTGCAGTTGACCAGGAACAGGCCCCATATGTAGAAAGGAAAGCTGCCACGTGGTTTGTTTTCAGTTGGTAGGCTCTGGTCCTCTTGTCATCAAAGTGCAAGACGGGCGAACATCTTCAAATCTTTGAAGCCAGCTTATGTTTGATTACATTTTTCCACTGTTTTCCCCTGTCTGTGGCTACTCTTTGTGCCTCCATGTTTGTGCATATCAGCACCTCTTCTATTATATTATCAGACATGAACATCTTCCATACATCTATTGGGGAGACAGTACTAAACCCAGGTGCAAGCCCTGGCTGACTAATTCAGAATATTGTAGCTAGAGCAGTAAGAGGGGCTCATTCTGTTGGACTCAATATCCATTTCCTCTTCAGAGGACTCATCTGAGGACTCCTCTGTGTCTGACTGGCCTTGTTCAGTGGGGGGGACAATAGTCTGGGTCCTCTATATCTGAGATGTCCGAGTCAGTGCCTCCGATGGGCTCTTCATCCCATCCATCTTGGATCATTTGTAGGGAAAGGTCCACAGGGATCCTAGCTGGTCTCATAGCAGCCATGTTACTTTAGATATTAAAAAAAAAACCCATCAGAAAGTACAATGTTTGAAATGCACAGAAAACTATAAACAGGGCTGCACTTAAGTGGTCCGCAGGTGCGCATTCGGTGTCAAAATAAAAGACGCGTACCAGATAAGAAGTTGGAATGCTCGTTTGCGTACATAAGATGTTCTGGAGGAGGACAGACATTTGGTCAGAACTCTTGAAGATGTTGAAGAAGCAAGCTCTGTAAGCAATTACTTTGGTGTTCCTCCACCGCAAAAGAAGCGCATATTCTCAGAATTTCTGGGAATACTTTTTTTTTTGACAGCCAATGTGCACCTGCAGACCATTAATGTGCAGCCCTAGCTATAAATCATATATGTTACTGTGTAAAAATTAATTCCTGATCCTTAAGAAGTGTAAGTCAGAGTTGCTTAGAATGAAAGTTTCCATAGGAACTGCTTGGGGTCATTTTTGACCCCACTTGTGGAAGAGTGGGGTAGTGATACAAAAACAGCCTTTTCTTTAAATTAATGAAAAAAAAATGCAAATGGCCTCATGTTACAAACATATTTTATGAGGAATACCTGGAATATGAATATATTACAACTTTTCATTTTAAAGATTTTGAAGAAAAACAACCCGTGGGGGTGCATCTAAGGGTTAAGCTTGATCAGCTGTTGTTAGAATTTATTTAATATTACTTTCTAGTATCAGTTGATGTTTGCTGGTGCCACAGCTGTAAAAGCTGGTCATGACATCGGTTTGGATATGTGGTGAGAGGGAAACATGAAGCTGAAACCAGGAGATGTCCTTACTGAATCATCAGAGCTGAACAGGTGATGGAGAAACAGGTTTACCTTTTAGGTGACATCAGGGCTCACAAAATTTCAAAATCCCTGGTAGCCCTTCGGGCAGGGACTCTTCCGTTTTTGGTAGCCCAGAATAAATTTAAGTAGCCCGAATAAAAAAGAGAGCAATTTTTTGATTGATGTTTTGTTTCCTGTTTTGTTTCCTTTACAATATTATACATTAAAGTATAATATTGTAACAGAAACATTAATCAAAAAAATTTTGAAACCCAAATTACAACATTGTATAAAAATTACAATCATCATCTATGAACTTGTAAGAACTGTAGAACATTAATCAGTCTGTGTCAGATCCCGAATTTGAAATTTCCACTGAAGTCACGGGTAAGAGGCAAGTGGAACCAAGATCTAGGCCATTTGCTTTTTGAAGTTTGCAAAGACTGCTAAATTGTGCCAGTGGTAGTTCACTCTTTGCAACATAGTACGCTGTTCTAAACAGATTTTTCAGGTTTATTTTTAGTATGTTATTTGCAATTGGTGTTTGTTCTGGGAAAGATATTGCAGACTGAGCAATAATGCATTTCTTGCATTTCTCATGGGTTCTAATGGGGGCCTTTCTTAAAATGACTGGTCCCAGTAACAAAGGCGCTTGTCGACTCAGAAATCGAGAGAAAACCAACAACACACCCGGCAGAACATTATGTTATTTACACGGGTGCACATAAGTGGTCCGCATGTGCGCATTCGCTGTCAAAATAAAAGACGCGCACCAGATAAGAAGTTGCAACGCGCGTTTGCGTCCATATAAAAGGCAGTGTTTTTGTCCGCTAGAGTGGGATTTTCACGGCACATTCTGCATCACATCTCTGTGCGTTCATCATTTGTTTGAAGCCAGCTCACCTCCTGGAACCAATTTTCCGAGAATACGTGCTTCTTTTGTGGTTCGGACTCTTTCTGACATTTCTTTGGAGGTGGAGGTAGGGATGTTCGATATAACGATATATTTCAGATGACGATATAAAAACGTCTATCGTTTCATTTTACGCTATCGTTAGCGATATCGTTTAGGTGGACTGCTGGACTCCTGGCACCAGCTTTGGGGAGTCTTACCACATAAAATCATTTCAAGGTCAGTAAACACAATCAGAATTCATACATAAGGCATTATAAGGGATTATAAGGGGCACATTCGATTTTCAGAAAAATCAAAGGATTGATTTCAGTGTTGTGTTGTATTTTCCAAAAAACACGGTAATAACGACGGTCCGCTAGCACACTCTACCAAAAATAGTGCTTTGTTGTGTATCTAATGGACGAAAGCTAAACCAGTTCCACACCACTGAAGTTGCAACATTTTTACAAACCAATTCTGGTTCATCCGTTTCATTCAACAATCCGCTTTTGCCCTTCTCATTCTCCGTCACCGCTGTGCTTTTTCCAGCGGTGACGATGTGAATATGAAAACAAAGGCAATGTGCATGCATGTTTTACCCATATTTTATCGCGGTATTTCATTTTTTTTTTTTTATCGCTGCCCAACATTATACCGGTATTACCGTGAACGGTATGATATGGCCCAGCCCTACTTTTAAAAGTTTACTCTTTGGGTGCCCCACATCAACCATTCGCTGTTTTTCTTACCACTGTGCTATGAATTTTGTAATAGGTTGAATATGACCCATCCTTCAAATGCAGGTAAATGAAGGACGAATTTTCGGCCACATTTGGAGCAGCCTTTGAATTTGGAAACCCTTCATCACGTGACATAATCGGCCTTCAAATCCTGCTTTCAAAGCTGCAGACTCTGGGGATGTCCAAATTCATGGGCTGCATCCTCTTGAGGCCGCATTTGAAGTACATTTGTAGGATGTGTCCTCAAGAGGATGCATCCTATGGATTTTGACACCTCTTTTGAATTGGAATACAGCCATAGAGTGGGGGGCGGAATCTGGCTGAGGCAGCTCTTACTCCTCATTTAAAGACAGGCAGACCTCCACTGTCATTCTTGTGAGATTTAAGGCGACACAAAATGCTTGGAGAAGAAAACTCAATTTCTGTCCTTTAAACAGGGGTTAACAAAACACTAAGAATCATAGTGGTGTTTCCACTTCCATTGCAAATTCTTTGCAGTCTCTCTCCTAGTTCATTAAAACGTCCTACATGTGTGAGTCACTGAAGCACATGTCGCGGTTCCCCCTTTTGTGCAAACAAAAGAACGATGGGACTGAGGCAATATTCCCTCAGGATGGCCAGTCACCACGTGCCTGTGATTCATCAAAACTCACCTGAGAAATCCTGCTCATCAAGGCCGAACTGTTATGGAAATTTTAGAAAACTCGCTGCAACATACCCTGTGAGCTGGGTTTGAAGTGTGTTTAATAAACACATTACAATTTGGGTGGGAACATCCCAGTCAACACAAGGATCATCTCTTAAGTTTTGCCGCTACCCTCACAGACACTCTCAAACAAAGAACATTCCACAGGACATCACGTATCCCTATACCTTCAGTCCAGCTCATCCTTGACCTCAGAGAAAAATCACAACCACCTGTCACCTCCCTTAAAGTAGGCTGTCTGGAGATCTTCCAGTCTACGATGGGTCCACTGTGAAGGTGCAATAACATGGGGCCCACTTGTGATAACATTCTATGTGAATGCATACAACTGATGAACACT